TAGTAGTAGTAGTAGTAGCAGTAGTCGTAGTGGTAGTCGTAGTGGTAGTTTCATTTTCCACCATCGTCATCATCATGTTTAATATTTTGGTGGTGTTGGGGGGTTGTGGTCGGGGGGCATTTGTTGGAGCTGGGGGGGAGTGGTGATGGTGGTGGTGGTGTGGGCTGGGACGGGGGCGGGGGGACATTTTACGCGAAGGGTCTTGCGGCTGAGGAAAGGAAATGGGTGTCCCCGTGAAAACGATTCCCTGTTGTCCTCTCCCAGTGCTGTTTGCCACAACAGTTGCGCGATGCCCGTGACAGACTCATTTCCAGGATGGGGTCGTCATTGCGATGTCAAAATGCCACTAGTTTCAGAGATTAGACCTGTCGCTGTCACGATTCCCGGCTCTCGCAAGCTTTCGACATGCGGGGCAACGTCGCAGCTCGAACATGGCAACGCTAGCTGGAACATAATCGTGGCATGCATGATCGTTTTTGTTCTTCTGGCATTGCGGACATGGGAACTTGCCACCCAAACAAAAGGGGGTGGGTCGAGGCCATGGGTGTGAATTCCGTGTACGCAGTAACATTCACTACAAGGATGGAAAACAGATAGCGGCAACCATACCTCTGTAGACCACACTCCCCCGTCCTGCCCTAGTTTGCCAGCTGCTCAGAAGCCAGGGGAACTACTAGCTACATGCACAGGCATACCATTAGACAGCGGCCATTACAGTTTTTGCTTGTCTGCCGGAGCGAACAACATTTCGGACTCTGAGGGCCCGAGGTCGTAGCTTACAGGCGTGAGCTTAAGACTGGCTTGGGCCTTGCACGCGGGGAGGTGTTTGCCTGGGATGAGCAGCACACAGTCGTGGCTTCGCACAAGCCCCCAAAGCCCCGAGAAGGCAAGAAGAAGGTGGACATGTTGAGTTGACTAGGATGGCTTGGCGATAGCGTCAAGCAGGGAGCCTCAAACCGACACCCCAAATGGTGCGCGACCGGACTTGAGAATGTTCCCGTCCGTCCAGCTTGTATAAGATGTATTCTGCCGGACCCCGCTGAACGCCGACACCAGTGCATGTGAGAGGGAGTAGGCTTTTTCACTGCCCGATCTGAACAACGACCACTTCCTCAGTCGCTCTTGGGGAGTTCGAAAATCTGCCGTGGAGGCGTAGCTGACAAAGCGACGGGCAGCCATCGCGGCAACACAAGAACAAGGAACTTCGAAGCTGGGTAGATGCCCACTTAGCGACCTTGCCAAAGCATACAGCAGACTATGCGTTCAGATACACTCCGCTACACAAGCGTCCGCACAAGCAAATGGAGGTATGTGTACTTGATGGACTTATTTGCTCTCTTTCTTTGTTGAGGCATGCAGACGGCAGGTGCTCTCGCGGCAGCCGCAGACTCTCCTCCGCTTCCTGCGGGCCCGGAATGGCGACTAGAATTCAGGATGTTGGAAGTCAGAAATATTGTAATGAGGCTTGGAGGAGTGTGAGCGTTGGCAGTGCTATGACAGCTGCTATGAGTGAACCCATAGGCCCGTAGGAGTTTTACTACCCGGCCCTTCCTTGCTCTTGACTCCTGACTACTGCTGCGAGGAGGAGAAGCTGTTGGTGACATTACAAGGCATTACAGGATAAGGTAAGGTACTGTGTTCCACCAACAGGTCTCAAGAGCGTTTGGACACTTTCTCGAGTCCTAAAGGCGATCTCCAGAAGGCGGAGGTGATGTTCAGGAAGATGCTCGAGTGGCGCCATGCATTCAGTGTGGATGTGACTCGGCAGACAAGACCCAATCCGGAAAGTGGTTCCAGATCATACACGGCGCGCCTTTGACCGGAAGGGTTGAAATACGCTGCTTGTCAGGAGAAGGTCCAGCAGTGGAAGGCGGAGCTCGAAGAACAAAGCACTCAGCGAAGCATACAGATGCTGCTTCTCTGCAAGTGAGCTGACGTTTGCTAAGTTCCTGTTGCCTCCGCCCTGTGTTTGCATGACATGGGAGCAGCATCCGCCTCAGGCCCAAAGGGCTAGGGTGGCAAACTTGATAAAAGCTGTTGCTTTGAGTTCATGCGACCGAGGAGGAGATTTGAAACGGACGTGGAGCTTTGCAGGGATAGCACGGAGCTTACAAGATCGGGGTTGGAGTTCTGTGTCAACGCCCTTCGACTGTCGGTAAGTTCTACGTGCCATGGGCATTTGGTGAGGACATGGAGTGCCAGTTCGCCTGGTTCGGACAAGTGTCGCCGACGTCCAGGGTCTAGTCCGCGAGTTCGGGAAGGACCTCGTGCTGTGTCCAGGCTGCTCTTCATAAGACGGCGAGTCACCCAAAGAATCGAGGTCCATCTGGAAATTCCGTGGTTTCACCGCTCAGGATTGACACCATCATGCGCATGGAGCGAACACATGAGGAGATTCGTCGAGCAATGCTTGACACCGAGAAGGTGGTTGCAGGCCAACTCCAGATCATCGACATGGGCGACTACGGCGATTATGGCGTCCCGAATTTGACCAGTCGGCTGTTCTCGAGCCTAAAGCTCGCTGCAGAGATTTCCCAAATCACGGACGCCAATTATCCTGACACTCGGCACGCCAGAAGATCCTTGTCCTCGCGAAGCTTCATGCACGGATCGTTCTGTATGGCATGTTGAAATATTTGGTTGTCGAAGAAAGGACTTTGCCTTTAAACTTAGCATGACCGCTGTCTTCCATCTTGTCAGGAAACGGTGCGCAAAGCATTCATCATCCGACTTGGTTCATGCACTAGCACAGCGTGGCGCTATTGCATCCAGCCGCTGCTTCCTGAGCGCACCCAGCACAAGTTGGTCCCATGTGGCCCGAAGGCAACCGGCTGAGGGTGAGATCAGACAGCTTCCAGCAGACATGAAACTGCGAAGGCAGGCGTCAAGTCTGCGAATTCCCTTGAGGCGAGTTCCTGGGAAGCACAGCTCGGGGCAGAGTTGGATCTGACAGCTTTGCCGGCCTTCCTCTGCGAGGAGACCATGGAGCACGAGGGTGATTTGGGAATTTGGACTCTTTTGAGGTATGGTGTTACTGCAACAAAGCGCAAGCTCACAAATCTTGCTCTCACTCTTTCTCTCTGCGTATCTCCCTTCCTGCCTCTTTTGCCTGTACCCTGGCGGCCAGAAAATAGAGGCTGCTCGTGCCGTCGGAGCCAGACGTTAGTTTTTCTTGAACCTGTACGACATGCAACATGCCAACAAGAAATGCGAGAATGAGCCCCTGGGCCAACAAAGGTATGGCAATTACGCAGCCACAAAAGGGTTCGAAACGGGTGCGTGTCTGTGCTTCTGGGGGTATCTGCATCTGCAGAAAGGCAAGCCAGCATGCCGAAACTGCCCGGAACGGGATCTCAATCACTGCTTCGAGGACTCGGACGCTGCCTTCCAAGCGGCCGTGCCTCGTGGGGGGTTGGTGCCAGTGGGTCTGGCTGGCAAAGACCGAGGCATGGTGCATTGATAGGTGCATTCTATGGAACAGCAGGTGCGGTTTTCTCAGCCGTGGACAGTAGGCCAGGCACTCGCTTCTGGATGTTCTTCGGGAGCCCACGGAGACTATATCGTACCCTGAACGAGACCATTTTCCAAGCAACGGCCTTTGTACAGGAACGTGGCGCGTGGAGCCAGCTGCGATGAAGAAGAAGCCGGCCGGTTCGCGGCACAACGGACCAGCGAGCAAAGCTTTGAGACCGTTCCTTTTCTCGTCGAAGTCAGAAATGTCCGGAACCGCGTGCCTCAGTCGGAACGGATGGCAGTTGCGATTCTGTTTCAACAGTTGGCAAGTTTGAGAACGCCACCGTCCAGCATTCAAGGCTATGTAAGGCCGGTAATAGTCAGTAAGTATTTCCTCAGGAGGGAACAATCACCGAGCAGAGCAAGGGTGCAGTCTTGAGAGCGCAAAAGGAGGCGACACGTCAAGCCCGAATCAAAATCATGTTATCTCATGCGGCACGACTGCTGTCTGCCTGCAATGTTAATACATCCAGGTGCGCTCGAATTCAGCTCATGTTCTTTGGGGTCGTCGCACTCGCCGCAGGAGCTCTTGCTCCCCAGCTGCACGAAGTGTCACATTCTGCCACTGTGGGATTACCGTGCCGTACATCCTTTATTGGTATGGTCATCGAGACTTGCCGCGACCGAGCTACCGTAAAGAAAACCTGGATTCGGAACAGTCCCACTTCGTTTGGAGACTGGAAGTTCACGCAGCTGACCTGCAGATAAGTCGGACCCAGTGAAACTCATGCAGCCAAGGCTGTCGAACCAGTCACCATCCTGTGACCCACAGTGGGAGCTGACGCAGATTCATGCAGCAGTTTGGTGCAGAATCGATTCCAGAGTGAGGATATGCAAAGACAGGCGAGCGTCGCATCTTGTCCAGCTCAGGTAGACAGCTGCACTGAAGACAAAGAGCGATGTTAATTCAGCTTAATGCGAGTTTTGAGTTTGCCGACGAGCAGATTTTTGGGGTTCCACTTCACTGATGTCACCAACAAAACGAGCCGACTCATATTGCCGCCCGCTGCACGCAGGCAACCGGATCCAAGTGGCAACCCATCTTTCCTTCCCTGGCCACAGGAAGCCAGGTGACTTGTAGAATACAAGTTGAAAATACAGACAAATAAACCATTCATGATACACTGCAGGTCTTTGAAGCAAGACGTGCGCAAGTGTGAGCAGTTCCACTGCGTGCACTTGTGCCGAAGTTCGGTCTCGGTCTTGGCAGGAGACTGCCCATGACATGAGCTCTTTGTCGGACAATGACCCAGATGCTGGGCCATGCAAATCGCATGGTCCCAGAAGCGAAACGATTGGCAGCTAGGGAGGTCTGTGGGGAGAAAGACCTGCAGTCCTCGGCATTGCCGGGCGGCCAAGCCGGTCTAGATCGTCCGAAAGTGCCTGGGACTGGAATCCGCTTTCTGCTCAAAGCCAGCCCTTCTTAGCATGTGATCATCCACGAAGCAGCGACTCCACGCCAGCACTGCCCAGGGCTTCACCCTGCAATGGGGAGCAGAGCTGCCCACAATTGGAAGAGACGGCCTGCCGTCTGCAAGAAGCTCGATCTGCCGAGTCAAGCCCTTCAGAGCCTCTTGCTTAGGGCTTGCTCAGGCAGAAATTGCTCGAGAAGCTGCGGCCTTGGGATATGCCAGAAAGTGTGCGTCGGCCATTCGGTTCGACCTGCTGTCTCTGTGCTGAGGTACGGCAAAGGCAAGGGCAAAGGCCAAAGCAAAGCAGATCGGAAGACAGGCCTTGACGGTGGTAGGCAGAGGAGTAGATTCTCGAAAGGGAGCTGCATCGGGCTTTTCAGGTGGGAAGCATGCGGCCGGGGACAAAGAAGGCAGCGTTCCGTCGCTGCTGGAAGGGGAAGAACGGGGAGAATGCTTCTTATGCAGCTGTCAGACTTTCAGAGGGGGCGTGAGGTGGCTCAAGCAGGACAAGCAGGCGCAGCAGGGTAGTAGGCCAACTAACACACACGCAGCACTCTAGCCAGCAAAGCCGCAGTCGGCAAACAACACTGTCTGACAAGAACGCTAGGGTCGTTGGAATTGGCAATGCTCAAGCCCTGCACGCTGTCGGTTCGAGAGGCAGCTCATGCCCATGTGCAGCGGGGGATACTCGTTTGCAAGGTTTTCTTGCGCAGCCTAGGCGGAAGTGTTGTTCAGAGTTTCCAGCGGTATCTGGAGTCTGGAAATGAGGAAGTGGCAAGCCGCTAGGCTGCCGCCTGTGCGCAGCACTTTGTGGGCTGGCTGCCCTGTCCTGCTGATTGTCCGTTGGGCCGCATTAGGCGCTGCAAGTGCTTTCTGTTCTTGCCTGGTGTAAGGCCCCTGGCGGTTATGTGAGCCGGAAGACTCGCCGTCGGGCAGCTAGATTGGATTGGCATAAACTGGCTACTCGCACCGTGGCCTGACAAAGTCTTCTTCCCTGCTGCAGGAGTGAGTAAGTAAACTTTGAACCCTAGCCTTCGGCTTGGAGCACTAATTGAATGCCAAATCTTGGGCTCAGGCACGGATGAAGTCTTGGAGGCCGTCTCCAACCATGCGCCATCCTCGCAGGAAGTCGAAGCCGTTCGCTCCGAAATTGCGAACGTGGCAGAACTGAAGGAGCGCCCGCTGTGCTGCGACCACGACTTTTCAGATCCCCGGTCGGAGTCGAGTCTTCTCCACTGCGATGCGCTCCGCCTGCGAGGTTGCCGCAGCCGAGTTGCGAAAGGAAGTGGATGCACGCCATGCAAAAGTGAGCTGGTATGAAGAACTCTTTCAGGACAGATATAGTGTGTTTTTCTGTGGAGTTCCGGGCGGACTCGCCAACAGTGCCAGGCTACCCGCCTGGCAAAGCTAACAGGTGCCAAGGTGCCTGATGTAGCCTCTCAGCTGCGAAAGTGGTAACGGCTCCAGAGAGTGCCGCCAAGAAGATACGAAGCAGGCTGATAGGTCATATAGATTTCAAGGCTGGGGGCATTCAACGAACACCTTATGACGAAGGGAGGTCGCTCGCTTGCTGACCGCCGCAGCTACATAAGGACTGGACATTGATAGCTGATCGCATCAACAAGCGCTTCAAGTACAAGCCTGGCAAGGATGCATTCTGTCCTGCCCACTACTTTACATATGAGGACTGGTTCTTAAGGGCACTGTCGCCAGCAACACTTGAGCGATGTCTGTCCCAAGCAGCCTTGGCGGAAGTTTGCTCGCCTGTGCAGGGAAAGGCATGGGAACAGGCCGGGCATTGCAAAATGTAGCCTGGGCGCATCCGCATACAGCCAAGTGCGAGGCAGCTGAGCGCTTTCGTTTGTGCAGGTGCCCAGCGGTGAAATGTCATTGAAGATCTCGGTCATCGCAGTTTCGGAGCTACTGCAAGTGTTGGATGGGAAGCATCTGGTGCAGCTGCGGTTGCGCTGGCCAGCCGGGTCCCTATGTGCTTGGCCCAGGGAGATGCCGCAGTATCATTGGTGTATCATATCTGCATTTGAGGATTACCACCGGGTTCATAGCCCGGTGGATGGCAAGATCTTAGCCATAGACTGCTACCAGAAGGACGAGCTCTTCCCTGGGGCTGACGCTTAAAAGCAAGACGGAAGTACAGCTTGTCATGACACTGACATGACCGAGGAATCTTTGACAGTTTTTTCCTTCAGCACGCCCTTCGGGTTGGTGCGCTTGCTGTGTATCGGCGAATGGTCGGTCCAAAGTTTCGTGGCGCTCGGCAAAATCGGGGACCAGGTGGCAAAGATGGACGAACTTGGCCATTTCGACCTTGGCTCGCAGGTCATTCTGTCACTACCAGACGGAATGGACGTTTGTTTGGAGGGATCCCCAAAGCTTTTTCCTGGTGATCCGATCGCTGTCGTGCGCAGTCACAGCGAGAAAAAAGCCGTGCCGACATTGGGCCGAGGGAGGACAGAGCAGTGCAGAGCAAGCAAGTCCCAAACTGACTTGCCTTCAGCAATCTTAGCTTCTGTTACTAAGCTTACCCACAAAGCTAAACTCACATTAGCAAGATGGGCACTAGCAAGTTTACCTATAAGACGAGGGATACGACTCGACTGTCTCCAGGCCGACGCCGTGCTCGACATTCGGCGGCCAAAGTTGCAAGCCCGAAGCGGACGAGGCGCGAAGGCCCAGATTGGGGTTTAGGGTTTAGGGTTTAGGGTTTTAGGGTTTAGGGTTTCTGGAATCGCAAGGCTGGTTCCACGTGTAGGCGGGCGTGTTCTTGAGTACACATATGTGCAAGTATACTCTTGGAAAAGCACACGGATACATATATGCATGTGTACATATGTACACACGTTTTCCAAGAATGGATGTGTGCATACATCTCACCCTGCAAGTATAAAGCGAGAGAGAGAGAGAGAGATGGATGCATACCTATCACTCTCTTCCTGTGCAGAGGTGCATATCGGTGCATACATATATATATATATATATGTGTGTGTGTGTAGGCAGAGAGAGAGAGAGACAGAAATATATATATATATAGGTATATGTCATATGTATATATGTATACATACATAAAGTACACATACATACATGCCTGCATGCATGTTTGTATGTACAGACTTTCTGGATATTCCACCAGGTATCATATCTGCGCACATACGCTCTTACATCGCTTGTGCAGAGAACGGATAGGCAAAGCTATGGCGTATTTCTAGTGAATATCGGAAGTCTAGCTATTGGAAAAATTGCGGACATGAAGAAAGCATCACGATTTAAAACTGCATCGCGAGCAGTGCAACTTACTGATAATACTGAGTACTGTCCTTGCTGTTTGCGCTGCTAGTTCACGTAGCGATCGAAGCTCGGGACATTCGCAGAACAGTATATGCGAGAGTCACGCTCACATGGCCGGTAGTGCCAGTGGTCTTTGTAAATATCTAACCATGGCATAAAAATCTTACTGGATACGCTGAGAGAGGCAGTGGCATAAATCTACACAGGTGATCGAAACGGTTACAGAAACAAGGGTCAAAACCCTGCAGCTGACACAAAGATTCAAAGTCTGGAACCGGTATGGCCAGTAGTCATGCTTGAAGTAGCAAGATAGCCCGGAGTTTTGGGGGTTGGGGGGTTTAGGGTTTAGGGCTCTAGGGATTTAAGGTTTTAGGCTTTAGGGCTTTAGGGTTTTAGGGTTTAGGGCTTTGGGCTTAGCATTTGGAGTTTCTTGGTTTGGGTTTATGATTGTTGCTTCTTGGTGGTTTAAAATCTCTAAAGCATCTAGGGTTCTTGGGGTTGGGTTTTTTTGGATTTAGGGTTTGGGGCTCAGGGTTTTGTAATTAGGAAGTTCCCAGAGACTCCAAGACCCTTTAATTAAGGAACGGTTTAGGGTTTAGGGTCTAGCGTTTGGGGCTTCGGGTTTAGGGTCTAGGATGCCATAGATCCCCCGAATTAAGGGGTTTGGGCGCTGCAAGGTCGCGGTATGGAGATGCCCGACCCAATGCCCATGGGACCTTGAAGTGTGGACTGCGATTCCTTTGCCAAGCGACTTTGGCGCCATACCAGATGATGTTGTCATCGTTTCCCAGCACGGCTACGGGAACACCCGGCGCATTCCCAATGTCGATCACGACCTTGTGGACTTTTGCGCTTCGCCCAAGATGGAGCGCCTGCTTCGCAACCTTCCCGTCAAGCTTCGCAGGTTAACTGGGTACCCAGAGGCCGCGAGGCCGCAAAACCGCGGAAGCAACGCTCCGGAAGTGATGAGCCCGTCTGAATGGCACTTTGGCAACAAGCATTTTCAGAACCAACATCCCCGTCCCCTCAAACCCACTTCCCTCCCCTCTGCAAATGGGCGACCACAGCAAGTTTATGTTCGAAGATTCTAAGGCCAAACTCGCATCAAGCCAGTGCCCTTGAAGATGTCGAAGTAGCAAAAGTAAGAGCACGTGGTGGCAAGGAGCCCAAACTTCCCGCAGCGCTGCTTTTGTTGTGACTGACAGACTGCTTTGAAATTGAGATGATGTTTTGAGACACAAAAATTCGAACTCCCTTCATTGGCCTGTTGTTTCTCGAATACTTTAGTCTCTTTCGAACGGTTTGGTTATTGTTCCTCAAAACCGGTTTGCTCCCTGCTTCTCAAAAAATCTAGTTCGTTTCGAAAGGTTTGCTCCTTGTTTCTCAAGAACTCGAATTCCTTTTGAGCGGTACTCTAATCCTTTCACACTGTTTGCTCACTGTGTCTCAAATACCCTAGTCCGTTTCGAGCTGCTTGCCATGTGTTTCTCATATACTCTAGTTCTGTTCTTGCGGATTGCTCCCTCTTCCTCAATTGAAAAAGGTCCGCTTGCGCGGTTTGCTCACTGTTTCCCAAATTTCGTAAGTCTCATTGTGGTGGTTTGCTCACTGTTTACCAAAGACTGCCTTTCGGCCGGTCTCCTCCCTGTTTTGCAAACACTTTTGTCGGTTGTGGGCGGTTTGCTCCTTGTGGCTCAAACGCTCTAAGCCTTCTTCTCAAATACCCTAATCCCTTTCGAAAAGTGTGCTCCCTGTTTCTCAAACACTCTAAGCCTTTCCGATCGGTTTGTTACCTGCGGCGTAATAAATACTCTCAGCCCTTTCGAGCGGTATGCTGCCTCTGCTTCAAACACTCTGGTCTCTCTCGGGCAGTACACTCCGTGTTGTGTTCGAGCGGGTTGCTCGCTGTTTCTCAAATACTCTAATCCCTTTTCGAGCGGTTTGTTTCCAATTTCTCAACAACTCTAGTCCCTTTCGGGCGGTTTGCTCCCTGTTTCTCAATTACAGCAGTCCCTTTGGAGGGGTTTGATCCCTGTTTCTGCAACACTCTAGTCCCTATTGAGCAGTTTGCTTGCCGTTTCTCAATAGTCCCTTTCGAGCTTGTTGGTCCTTGTTTCTCAAGCACTTTTGTCGCTCGAAGAGGGACTGGATTGTTTGAGAAGCAGGGAACGAACCGCTCGAAAGGGACTAGAGTATTTGAGACACAAGGAGCAAACCGCTCGAAAGCAATTAGAGTCTTTAAGACACAGGGAGCAAGCCGCTCGAAAGGGACTTGTGGCTTCGCACGGGACAAGTGTACCTGAAAAACAACGGGCATACTGCTAGAGTGGGCTCAGGATTGTTGGGAAACGGGAAATAAACTGTTCGAACAGGTTTAGAGTATTTATGAAACAGAGTATGTCAGAAACATAGAGCAAACGGCTCGAGCGGGACCAGAGTGTCAGAGGCCAAACCGCTCGAAAGGGTTTAGAGTAGTTGTGTTAGAGTATCTGAGAAGCAGAGAGGAGGCCGCTTGAAACGGATTAGAGTATTTGAGAAACAGGGTGAAAACCGATCGAAAGGGACCAAAGTAGAGTGTTCGAGAAACAGGGAGTACACCGCTCAAGAAGGACTAGAGTGTTTGTGAAACCAGGAGCTAACCGATTGAAAGAAGTAATGAGCACACCTCTCGAAAGGGGTTAGGAAATTTGGCGACAGAGGGAACAAATCGCTCAAGAAGGCTTAGGGTGTCTTCAAGAACAAGGAGCAAACCGCTCGCAAGCGACAAAAGTGTTTGAGAAACAGGGAGCAGACCGGTCGAAAGGGACTGGAGTATTTAAGAAACACGGAGCAAACCGCTGAAAAAGGGCTAGAGTGTTTGAGAAAGTCGGAGCAAACCGCTGGAAAGGGACTGGGGTACGTAAGAAACACGGAGCAAACCGTCCGAAAAGGCTTACAGTCTTTAAAAAACAGGGAACAAACCACCCCAAGGAGATCTGCGGTATTTGGGAAACAGGTGGCACACCGCTCGAAAGGCACCAGAGTATCTGAGAAATAGGGAGCAAACCGCTCCAGAGGGACTAGAGTATGTGACAAGCAGAGACCAAGCCGCTTGACAGGGACCAGAGTAGAGTGGTTGAGAATCAGTGAGCAGATCGCTCCAAAAACACTCGAGTAGTTGAGAGGCAAAGAACAAGGCGATTCTTTGGGATTAGGGTGTTTGTCGAACAGGGAGCTCGAAAAGGAGTGGAGTATCTGAGAAACGCGGAGCAAACCGCTCGAAAGGGACTCGAGTGTCTGAGAATCTGGGAGCAAACCGCTCGAAAGGGTTTACAGTCTTTGAGAGACAACAAGGAGCAAGGCGCTCGAAACGGACTGGAGGCTTTGAGAGACAGAGAGCAAGCCGCTCGAAAGGGACGAGAGTATTTGAGAAACAAAGAGCGAACCGCCTCAAACAGGGAGCCAGCCCCTTAGCACTTAAGAAACCAGGAGCAAACCGTCCGAGAAGGCCTACAGTGTTTGAGAAACAGGGAGCAAGCCACCCCAAAGAGAACTACGGTATTTGGGAAACAGTGAGCAAACCACACAAACGGACTTAGTGTATCTCGGAAACAGCCTAGTGTATCTGGGAAACAGGGAGCAAACGCCGCTCGAGTATATGAGGAACAAGGGGCAAACAGCTCGCAGGAGACAGAAGTACTTGACGCTGAGAGCAAAACGCTCGAAAGGGAGTAGAGTATTTAAGAAACAGGCAACAGTCCGGTCGAAGGGGGCCAGAGTGTTTCAGAATCAGGGAGCAAAGCGCTCCAACAAAATTCGAGTAGTTGAGAAACAAAGAGCAAGCCGCTCGAAAGGGACTAGAGTACGTAATTGAGTAACAGGGAGCAAACCGTTCGAAAGGAACTAGAGTGTCTGAAAAACGGGGAGCAAGCCGCTCGAAAGGGACGACAGTCTTTGAGAAACAGGTAACAAACCGATTGAAAGGGACGACAGTATTTGACAAACAGGGAGCAACCCACTCGAAAGGGACTAGAGTATTTGAGAATCAGCGAGAATCAGGAGCGAACCGCTTCCCAAAAAACGGAATATTGGACAAAACACAGAGCAGACCGCCCGAAAAGGACTGACGTAGAAGCATGCCGCTCAAAAGGGGCCACCGCTCTAAAGGGACTAGAGTATTTGAGAAACAGGGAGTAGAACTACTTTTCAAACAGGGAGCAGACCGCTCGAAAGGGGTTAGGGTATTTGAGAAACAAGGTGCAAACCGCTTGAAACGGACTAGCTCGAGAAGGACTGGAATTTTTGAGTAACATGCAATAATAAGCAAAGCGCTCGGAAAGGCCTGGAGTAATTGAGAAACAGGTAGCAAACCAACCGGAAGAGGACAAAGTTTTGGAGCAACAGGAAGCAAGCCGCCCGAAACGGATTAGAGTACTTCAAAGACAGGGAGCAAACCGCGCAAAGGTGCCAGGGCTTTGAGAAACAAGGAACAACGTTCGAAAGCGTCCAGTAGGAGCCCAGGCATATAGCATTGGAGAAACGGGGAGCAAACCATTCAGAAGGGACAAAAGTGTTTGAACAACACGGTGCTAGAGTCTGTGAGAAACAGGGAACAAGCCCTTGGAAAGAGACTAGTGACTAGGCTATTTGGGAAACACGAGCCAAAGGCTCGAAAGGGCCCATAGCGTTTGAGAATCAGGGAGCGAAACGCTCGAAAGCGACTAGAGTAGTTGAGAAACAACAAGCAACCCCCTCGAAAAGGACCCGAGTAGTTGAGAAACAAAAAGCAAACCGCCCGAAAGGGACTGCAGTAATTGAGGCACAGGGAGCACAACGCTCGAAATGGGCTACAGTATTTCAGCAACACAGACCAAACCGCTCGAAAAGGAGTAAAGTTCTTGAGAAACCAAAAAGCAAGCCGTTCCAAAGCGGACTAGAGTATCTGAGAATCAGGGAGCAAGCCGTTTCAAAGAAAATAGAAGATTTGAGAAGCAGGGGGGTGTTTGAGAAACAGGGAGCAAACCGCTCGAAAGTGAAAGGGGTATCTCGAAATGGACTCGAGTATTTGAGAAACACAGACCAAGCCGCTCGCAAAGGAGTAAAGGTTTTGAGAAACCAGGAAGCAAGCCGCTAGAAAGCGGGCGAGAGTATCTGAGAGTCAGGGAGCAAACCGTGTCAAAGAAACTTGAAGATTTGAGAAGCAGGGGGCAAGCCGCTCGAAAGGAACTAAAGTGTTTGAGAAACGGGGGACAAACGGCTCGAAAGTGAAAGGGGTATCTGAGAAACGCAGCAAGCCGCTCGAAATGGACTCGAGCATTTGAGAAACACAGACCAAGCCGCTCGCAAAGGAGTAGAGCACTTGATAAGCCAGGAAGCAAGCCGCTCGAAAGCGGACTAGAGTATTTGAGAACCAGGGAGCAAACCACCAGAGTAGGATAGTTGAGAAACAGAGAATGAACCTCTCGAAAGGGACTAGAGTCTTTGAGAAAGAACGAGCAAATCGCTCGAAAGCGAGGGACTAGAGTATTTCAGAAACAAAGAGCAAGCCGTTCGAAAGCGACTAGTTCATGTGAGAAACCGAGAGTCAACCGCCAGAAAGGGACAAGAGTATTCGAGCAACAAAAGGCATACCGCTCGAAAGGAACTAGAGTGTTTGAGAAACGAGGAGCAAACTGCTTGGAAGCGAGTAGCGTATCTGAAAAACAAGCGGCAAGCCTCTCGAAAGGGACTAGGGCGTTTGAGAAACAAGGCGGAAACCGCCCGAAAGGAGGGGATTGTTCTTGAGAAACAGGAGCCAAACTAGTTAAAAGGGACGAAAGTCTTGGAGAAAAAGGGAAGAAACCGCTCGACGGGGATTGGAGTATGTGAGAAACAGGGAGCCTAGATGAGCCTAGCATTCAGAAGGGTTTATAGCAGCAAGCCACGCGGCAGGGATCAGAGCATCCGAGAAACAACAAGCAAACCACTCGAAAGGGGCTGCAGTACATGAGGCACAGGGAGCAAGCCGTTCGAAACGGACTAGGGTAGGGACTGGAGTAGAGTATTGGCCGCTCGAAAGGGGATTAGAGTACTGTGCAAACAATGAGCAAACCGCTCGAAAACTACTAGAGTCACTAGAGTACCGGAGAAATCTGGGAGCAAACCGCTTGAAAATGACTAGAGCGTTTGAGACACCAGGGAGCAAGCCGCTCGAAACGGACTAGACTATTCAAGAATCCGGGAGTAAACCGCTCGAAAGGGACTAAGGTGTTTGAGAAGCAAGGAACAAACCCCAAAAAAAAACTAGAAGTTTTGAGAAGCAGGGAGCCAACCGCTCGAAAGAGACTACAGTGCGACAGAGTAACGGAGCAAACCGTTTCAAACAAACTGGAAGATTCGAGAAGCAGGTGGCAAGCCGCTCGAAAGGAAGAGTGTTTGAGAAACGGCGAGCAATCCGCTCGGAAGTGAAAGGGGTATCTGAGAAACAGAGCAAGCCGCTCGAAATGGATTCGAGTATTTGAGAAACACAGACCAAACCGCTCGCAAAGGAGTAAAGTACTTGATAAGCCAGGAAGCAAGCCGCTCGAAAGCGGACTAGAGTGTATGAGAACCAGGGAGCAAGCCGGGGGCTAGTGTATCTATCTGAGAAACAGGGAGCAAACTTTCCGAAGGGGACCAGAGTAGGATAGTTGAGAAACAGGGAATGAACCGCTCGAAAGGGACTAGAGTGTTTGAGAAAGAACGAGCAAATCGCTCGAAAGGGAGTGACTAGAGTATTTCAGAAACAGAGACCAAGCCGTTCGAAAGCGACTAGTTTATGTGAGAAGCCGGGAGCCAACCACCCGGAAGGGACTAGAGTGTTTGAGAAACAAACGGCATACCGCTCGAAAGGAACTAGAGTGTTTGAGAAACGAGAGCAAACTGCTTGGAAGCGAGTAGCGTATCTGAAAAACAAGCGGCAAGCCGCTCGAAAGGGACTAGGGCGTTTGAGA